TGGACAGTGAATAAGGAAGACAGTAGAAGAATTTATGCTTTTGAGTTATTGTGTTGGAGGAGACTATTGAAGGTGTTTATGGGCTGTCAAAAGCACCAACAGATCTGTGTTGGAAGAAGTACTGCCAGAATGTTCCTTGGAGGCCAGGATGGCCAAACTTCGTCTCTCATACTTCAAACACATTGTCAGGAGGGACCAGTCTCTGGAGAAAGGATATCATGTTTGGTAAGGTGGAGGTTCAGAGAAAGAGGAAGACCCCAGCAGGATGGATTGGCAAAGTGGCAGCATCAATGGGCTAAAGCATGGCAACAATTGTGAGGTTGGCCCAGGATCAGGCAGTGTTTCGTTCTGTTGTGTATAGGGTCGCTGTGAGTCGGTACCGACTCAATGGCACCTAACAACAACAATGGGTTGGAATTAATGTTGGTTCCTTGTTAATACTCCTATTACTATTGTTACTTGAGTCATTTGGTAGCATTGTATAGAAAGAACCAGATGAAATATATTAAAACTTATTTATCTCTTTCAAAGCCTGGTGTGTAGTTGCCATCATTAGACAGCACTTAACAACAACAATATGGTAGCCAGTGGCCACTGAGCCCTTGAAATACTAGAAGTATAAACATGGAACTAAAATGTTAATCTTATTTCATTTTAACCCATTTAAATTTAAATTTAAATATCTATGTATCACCAATAGCTAATATACTGGATCGTACATCTCTAAGTCTATCTGGTACATTCACTCAAAACGCTAAAGGTAAACTCAAAGCAGTATTTTTTATTATATCAAAAAAACTCAAAACACATATTCTAATAAAAATAGTTACATCATCCTTATATAAAAAGGTAAATCATTTAGGTAGATTTTAAGTACTCCTCCCTTGAATAATGGTTAATGTGAAGAAAATACAGGTATGTGTCACTTAATGTCCATTCAGATAACATCTGACCACATATATGTCTGCTTATGTCTGTCCATGGTCTCATAAAGTTGTTTGCTGCTGTTGTTTTTTTTAAGGGAAAGTAGCTCTCCTTTTGTTTACTGTCTCCCCCTATCAGTTTGAAAGACTGAAAATGCAGACTCTTGAAGTTCATCAATGAGACACAGGCATGTGAGACAGAGGACATGCTCTGAGTACAGACTCTCAGACCCTCTCTAGCAGACAGGTGAGCAGCAGAATGGCTGTGGGGCCGGGAATGTTCATGCTGCTCAGGCAGGCGGAGCAATGGGTAGAATTGGATGTGTTCCACTAACTGCTTACTTGATTCCTCTCCCTCTAATCTCACCACTACCAGCACCAGTTCCTCAGGCCTCCACCAGCAGAAGTGACAAGGAAAACCAGAAGCAGCCTCCCCTGTTCATACAAGGCCCAAATCACCAAATGTCCTATTTCACAGACTGTATCATGTACATTAAACAACACATAGCTAAAGAAGTAAACACTTGGATAAATTCTAGGGAGCAGCCCTAGAATTATTTTTAAGAGCTAGATGCACCCTTAAAGCTCATCTAGTCTGATTCTTTTACTTTACGCTAAAAAAAACTGCAACAAAGGAAGATTAAGGAATATATACCCAAGGCCAATGTATATACCAATGGAGTATATACCAATGGAGTATATACCAATGGAGTATATACCAATGGAGAAAAGACTGAAGCTGTCAAGGACTTCATTCTTCTTGGATCAACTATCAACACTCGCGGAAGCAGCAGTCAAGAGATCAGACGACGTATTGCATTGGGCAAATCTGCTGCACAGGAACTTTTTAAAATATTGAAGAACAGAGATGTCAGCTTGAGGACTAAGGTGCGCCTGACCCAAGACATGGTGTTTTCAATAGCCTCATATGGATGCGAAAGCTGGACAGCGAATAAGGAAGATCGTAGAAGAATTGATGCCTTTGAGTTGTAGTGTTGGAGGAGAATACTGAGGGTGCCATGGACTGCCAAAAGAACCAATAGATCTATTTTGGAAGAAGTGCAGCCAGAGTGCTCCTTGGAGGCCAGGATGGCTAAGCTTCAGCTCTCATACTTTGGACATATTGTCCGGAGGAAACAGTCGCTGGAGAAACATGTCATGCTGGGTAAGGTGGAGGGTCAGAGAAAAAGAGGAAGACCCCTAACGAGATGGAATGGCCAGGTGGCATCATTGATGGACTCAAGCGTGGCAGCGGTAGTGAGGTTGGCCCAGGATCAGACATTGTTTCGTTCTGCTGTTCATGGGGTCGCTATGAGCCGGTTCCGACTCGATGGCACCTGACAACAACAACAACCCAAGGCCATAAAGCCAGGAGCAGCATTCAGATCTTTTAACTCTCCAGACCACTGAACCACAGAAAAACCATGCTACATTAGCTACATGTATGCTAACTACATAAAAAGAACAAGAAGAAAATGACAAGCTATTCTGGGTTTTGTCCAGAGAGTTCTCTAGATGAACAAATATCATTTTTCAGATATTTCTGTGCTGCTGTTGAAGTGCTATTCAGTCGGTTCCCACTCACAGTGAACCTGTGTAGGGTTTCCAAGAAACGGCTTGTGGGTTTAAACCACAAACCTTGTAGTTAATAATCCAATGCTTATCCTACAGCGCCACATCAGTTGTACTTAAATTGACAATTTTCTTTAATTAATAGCCCTAACAGTCAAATAAGAAGAGACTTCAGCAAACTGGGTTCCTATATATCAATACAGCCTCATCATCTGGCTGTGGTTAGTAATAAAAGAACCATGAATAAACACCACAATTCCTTAAAAGACAGGTTTATATTTGTTTGAGATTTCCTGGAAAATTATGTCTTACTACATTTACATTAAATTAATGGGAACGAAACATATACTTTGTTTCTTTTAATAAAACCACTCGGCTCACTTGAAGTGAGGACACAGTGGCTTTATTAAAAGAAAACCTCAGCCCTCTGAATACACCTAGATATCTTCTCTGTCAATAGATATAAGGTTTATTAAGTCAGAGCTGGAGCCACTCACTCCTTCAATTTCAAATAAGGAAACCGCTGAACCTGCATTTGCTCATTCAGGTCACCCATCAAAGATCAACTGAAAGTCATGGAAAACTTAAGACTTTTCTTCTTGGTCCCTTCACTTTCCAGTTTATTTAGCAGCTGTGGCACTGCCTCAGACCTTCAGATCCTGGCTCTACCAATGACTAAGCAAATTGTTTACTTCAATCATGTATCTCTTTACGTACAAAAGAGATACAGGTACCTGTCTTACAGTGTGAAATGAAAACCTATGTAAAAAGCACCAGCACAGTACTGACAAACTCTGCTTTATTCCTGAACCTGGTGCCAACATCCTATCTTAACACACACATCAAAAAAAACAGTATGAAAACAAGGGGAAGTTTTTAATATAGGAAGATTCTTCTTCCTAGTAACTGATAGTCCTATTGTTTGCATATGCACTATATATTTTACTATGAACTTTATAAAAATTTATATTTTGTACTGTGACGGCCAAATGCCAACTTCTGCCATGGGTTCACAGACTTCTGTGAGTTACACAAACAAACAAATAATGCTAAGACAAGAATCCATTTGAAAGCAGTAAAAGCAAGCCTCAGAAGGTGTTCAAATGATAATGGACTGTAATGAAACTAAACCCCACCTTCTCTCCAGGTCAAGTCCTAGTCATCTCTGAAGACTTGGGTTAGTCACCACTTGCATGCTATGCCTCTAACTCAAATTGCCCCACCTTCCATAAAAATCTAGCAAACTCACTAGACTCAACCAAATATACTTCACAGAAATAAAAAAGATACGCTTATCTTCATGACCCTTGAACATAAGCATTAAATACTAGAATTTTCAAGTAGCTAGGCTTTGCTTCTTATTTAATGTTCCTAAGTCTGTCCTAAAGTATTAGAATCTTAGATACTTTATTCACAATAAAAAGTTTAAAAAAAAAACTTAGGCAATTTAATTTTAGAGTTATAATACACAACTAAAAGAACAAATTAAACTATTTTCTCCATAAAAATTTCCAACCAAAAGTAATTTCTTTTATTCATAAGAAACACTCTTTAGTGTTACCATCAGTAGTATTTAGTCCAGTTACATGCAGAAGACACTTTCAATAAAACTAATTAGGCAGAAGGTACAAGAAAGGGCAAATACCACACCAAAGTAGAACACATACATGAAGAGTCACTGAATTCAATATCTAAGTTTTCAATCTGTAAGTCATTCTAGTCATAAATATTTTAACTCCTTGTACCTTAAATATTGATATAGAAGAGATTTGCTTGTGAAAGTTGCTTATTTAACACAAAATGAAAGAATGATTTGATTCATCTCTCAATCAAGACCTTGATAATTTAGCAATATAAAAGAGAAAGAGAGAGAGGAGGGAGGAAGGCAGGGAGTGATACACAAAGAGAAATTGATCTGAGGAAGAAAAGTACAAATCCACAGTACGAAACCCATTCATTTAACTCAATCCTTCTTGGTAGTCATGAGATGAATGTGAAACCATTACCTAAAAAAAGAAAATGGTTGAACTCTAAATACACATTTGTTCCACTGCAGATAGAACAGATACTCTCTGACCTTTAGGTTCACACATGCCAAACACCATTCTTTGCAAACTATTAGTCAATGTTTTACTTCAAGACTGCATTATTTCAGTCAAAACATGCATAACAGGTAATCCTGGCCTACCAGCCACTTCTGAATCTGTCCCCATTTTCGATCATAGGAATGATGAGAGTGCTATAAATGCAAAAGTTTCATGAGCAGAACCATTTCTAAACATATTTCAGTCTCTACAAAGTTTTAAATTAATCATACTTTTTTTTCCTACACCCAAGGATAGTAGATTCAAAGTAAATTGTACATTCAAAACTTGGAAACTAAGCTAAGTATGTTCAACAGTAAAGACATATATAATTCTCTATAGTTTAGAAGACCTAAACAAAACATAGTAACTCTCTCCTCCTCTTATAATTTACTATTATTTTAGGAGTATAAAAAATAATGCATTGCAACATTTGTATTTCAGTAAGAATAACATCCAATATTTCAAAATATACAGGGGAACTTCAAAAAGTTCATGAGAAAACTTCATTATCTTTCCATTCCATTTTCCTATAAACTTGAAACCCCATATATAAAGGGTTAAAAACAAAACAACAACAACAAAAAAAAAAAACTAGCAGCATAGCAACTGTTCTTGTTTGTCTGAGCCGTGGCAATATGGAATCTATAAATTTCACTTTAATCTGTTAACAGAGGACAACCTACCAAAACTAGAATTAAGTGTTTAATATTGTTCCACAAGCATTTTTCCACCTTCATACTAAAAAAGAAATCAGAAATACTTTAAAGGGAATTTTTAGAGCCACATCAATGTCTAAATGAAAAGGCAAACAGAGTAAGTAAACATAGTTTCCATTGTAAATCAGCTCAATTTCTGTTCTTTTAAAAAACAGTTTATGCCTTCTTTATGATAAAAACACCAGAAAATTTTCTAAAAATCATCCATAATTCCACTATAGTTAGCCAAACTACTGACAGTAATCAAGTCTTCCTTGTAGTGTTTGAGCCTATATTCAAATACTGAATAGTACCACAAAATTCTTTTATAGTAACACAAACTCTCTTAACTTCTCATAAATTACCTCTTTTTGTTGCCGTTCCAGTTCTCTCATACGTATATCTCTTGCTTCTGCTCGAGCAGCACGTTTTGCTGCTAGTCTTGCTTCTGCCTAAAATGCAATATAAAGATTCAGCTTAAAGTAAAACAACAAGAATAAATAAATAAGGAAAGGAATTTCACCTATCAGTGAGTGTGACAGAGTCAACTTCTATATACTCAGTCACTCCTAAAATCTGGGCCTTTACATTTTAACTGTACATTCAACACATTTCACAAAGAATTCATATTCTTCAAACTTGCTTTGTCCCTCACAAAATTTCTTTCCTTATCATTTCAATCATTCAAACTAGAAACTTTAAAACCAGCATCAGTGTTATTTTAGACATTGCCAACATTGAATTCCTTAGTACCACAGATCCTCTACCAGAGTCTCTCTCAAACTGATCCTCACTTTCTTTATCCTCACTGTTACTGCATGTTTCAGGAGCTCAGCATCTCTCTCTTGAGATAAAACTCACATACCATAAAATTCACCCTTTTGAAGTATACAATTTAGTGGTCACAAAGACCTGTAACTTCTTGTTGTTACTTCTGTTAGTCTTCGTGGCACACTGGCTGATCCCGCGCCATCCTCACAAACGTTATGTTTGAGCCCACTGCTACAACCACTATTTCAATCCATCTCATTGGGGAATACCCTCTTTATCCCCAACCCTGCACTTTACCAAGCATGATATTTTTCTCCAGGAACAGATCCCTCCTGATAACATATCCAAAGCATGAGAGACGAAGTCTCGCAATCCTGACCTCCAAGGAACATTCTGGTTATACATATTCTTCCAACACAGATTTGTTTGTTATTCTGGCAGTCCTCAGTACTTTCAATATTCTTCTTCAACACCGTAATTCAAATGCATCAATTTTTCTACAGTCTTCCTTATTCACTGTCCATCTTTCATGTGCATGTGAGACTACTAAAAATACCATGGCTTGGGTCAGGCACACCTTAGTCCTTAACTGGAATCTTTGCTCTTGAACACCTTAAAGAGGTCTTGTGCAACAGATTTGCCTAATGCAATATGTCATTAGGTTTCCTGACTGCTGTTTCCATGAGTGTTGATTGTGGATCCAAACAAAATGAAGTCTTTGACAACTTCAATATTTATTGGTCCCACTGTGAGGGCTTTTATTTATTTGTTTACATCAAGGTGCAATCCATACTGAAGGCTACTGTAGTTTTTGATCTCTAGCTTTACTGTAGTATTTTAAGACCTGACCCAAGCCATGGTTTTTCAAAACTCTCATATGCATGTAAAAGTTGGACAATGAATAAGGAAAAGAGTATAAGAATTGATTCATTTGAGTTATAGTGTTGTAGAAGAATATTACTGCCAAAAGAACAAACTAATTACGTGTTGGAAGTAAAGCCAGAATGTTTTTTGTAAGCCAGGATAGCGAGACTTCGTCTCTCATACTTCAGACATATGATCAGGAGGGAACAGTTTCTGGAAAAGCACATCATGCTCAAGTGCAGCGAAAAAGAGGAAGACTTCCAATGAGATGGACTGGAATGATGGCAGCAACAATGGGCTCAAGCACAACAATTGTGAGGTTAGCTCAGTACTGGGCAGTGTTTCGCTCTGTTGTGCACAGGGTCACTATGAGTTGGAATCAACTTAAAGGCACCTAACAAACAACAAGAATTCCAAAACATTTTCATCACTCTACAAAGAAGAGCAAAGATGTCAGCTTGAGGACTACGATGTGCCTGACCCAAGCCATGGTATTTTCAATAATCTTATATGCATGCGAAAGCTGGAGAGTTAATAAGGAAGACTGTAGAAGAATTGATGCTTTTGAGTTATGGTGTTGGAGGAGAATACTGAAAGTGCCATGGGCTGCCAAAAGAACCAATAGATCTGTTTTGGAAGAAGTGCAGCCAGAGTGCTCCTTGGAGGCCAGGATGGCTAAACTTCGTCTCTCCTACATCGAACATATTGTCAGGAGGGACCAGTCACTGCAGAAGGACATCATGGTTGGTAAGGTGGAGGGTCAGAGGAAAAGAGGAAGACCCTGAACTAGATGGAATGGCCAAGTGGCAGTACTGAAGGACTCAAGCATGGCAACAGTAGTGAGGTTGGCCCAGGATCGGAGAGTGTTTCATTTCTGCTATGCATAAGATTTCTATGGGTCAGTACCGACTCGATGGCATCTAACAACAACAACAAAGAAGCCCTAGGGTCATTAGCAGTCAATCCCCATTCCGTTTTTCCTCCAGCCCCCAGTAAACCACCAATCTACTTAGTATCTCTACAGATTTGTCTACTCAATGTAGGATAAGCACTGCACTGCCAACATCAAGATCAGTAGTTCAAACCCACCAGAGGGATAAATATGAAGCTTTGTACTCCTGTAAAGATTTACAGCTTCAGAAACCCTAGATAGTGTCTCTGAGTCAGATTCGACTCAACAACAGGAGGTTTTGGATGTTTCATATAAATGGAATCATACAGCAGGAACTCATCGTTTGCTTGGACTATTGCAACTGCCTCTAAATCCATCTATCTGCCTCTAGAATCTGCCCATCATCTATATCGTTTCATGATTCCCAAAATAACCTTTCAAAACACATTTCTGATCAAGTTATTCTATGTTGTTAAGTGTCACAGAGTGAGTTCCAACCCATAGTTACCTATGGCTAAAGTACAAATTCCTTAAAACTGCACAAAGAGGAGAGAAAGAAGATACATAAACATAGAAGTCAAATTCCTGCCCACTTCCCAGTACTTGTGCCATAAGAACCAGCTGTGTACCATCCCTTCATTTCCGAATTCTCAGTGAGCTCTGTTAAAATTTTCTCGACAGATTATTTGCTTGGGAGAAGGTAGTCTCCCTTCTCTCATAATCAGTTCAAATGCAAATTACCTTCTAGGAAGATTCCCTCCTTTACTGGTTAATATTCTGTAATTGCCTCCATTGTGACTTTATTATGTTACATTAAAAATATGTATTTCTGTCTCCTAAAACATTTCATGCTGAAATGTCTATTAAGTAAAAAAAAGTAATACTTGGGCCAGATTATCAAGGAAATAGATTGATATGCAACATGAAATAAAAAAATCTTCTCTCTCTTGGTTTCTATCTTGCAGTGATTTCCACTGTTCTTAACCACAACCTAACTCTGATTCATATTTCCCCTGTGATAACTATGTGGTCCCTGACTTTTGGTGTATTCAAGTCAGAAAAACCACACTGAAAACCATATTATTTTTTTAACATCTTACCGTTAATATGTACTACATAAGAGTGTTACAGCACATAATTTGCTGATGTTACCATTCTCAGGTGTTTATATGCAATATTTCCAACCCTCAAAGACAAAGACCAGATTTATTAAAAACTACTCATTGTTGTTGTTGTTATTAAATACCATCCCACTGAGTCGGTTCCAACCCACAGCGACTCTGTATAGGGTTTCTGAGAAGTGACTGGTAAGCTTCAACCACCGATCTTGCAGTTCAAACCGACTTTTCAGTCGAGCATATTAACCCACAGTACACTCCAAAAACTACTCATAAAAGGCAATAAATAGAGGGGTGGGGCTTGATGGCGGCTATGGTGGAGGTGGAGTGAAGTTTGCCATCAGCAATACCACAGTAAATACCAGGCAGAGGAGATCCTAGGTAGAGCTCCAAAACTTGTAACCACACAGATATGAGTATTTAAAAAGTTTGAAGGCTTATAACTAGTGGAACTTGAAGCTGAAGTAAGAAATCGCATACTTTTGAATCTGCCTGGCTCCGTGGCCAGGAGCCCACAACATGGGCAAAACCAAATGGCAAGACCAAACGGAGGAGCAGACGTACCATGGAAAATGCCACGGGAACCTCAGAGCAAAAGT